GTCCCTTCTCCAAGGGCATAGAGAGGAGAGCCCTGGGGGCCAGAGGAGACTTAACTTCCTGTTCTTACTGCCCCCTAAGTTTGCTACCAGCCTGACATCCAGGGAGCCATTCCCAACTGAGCTAACCTCCTACCCCCAGCTGAGGTTTTAAACTAGAGTCGGGAGACCTGGGTCGCATGTATTACAGCTTCTAACCCAGGGAACTGAGGATAGGCTGTGGACCAGGCTCTGTGTCTGTTGAATTATTACGTCATGTTCTGCCGTTCTGCAAACACAACGAACACTGAGCGCCTGCTGCCTGCCAGGCTCTGTACTTGCTGTATTATATCTATTTGTTCATGTGTTCCTCACAAGGGGGCCATGAATGCACAATCACCAGCTCTCTGAGATTGCTGAGGTTTAGTGAAATGCAGGAGGAGCTTGTTTGCAGTCACTCAGATGCTACATGGGAAAACAGAGAGTGGAAGTGAGCTCCACGGAATGGGGATGACCCCCTCCCATGCATCGCTTTAATAAAGTCTTGCTGCACTATATGGGTTTTTTTTACATTAGGGTAAATTAACAGAAAGACCTGGAAATAGCAGGAAATAACTGCAGCCAAACCAGAGAGAACATATGAAAAAATAGGCCTGGAATGTATAAAGGAAATAACAGACTTTGGTAGGTCCCTGGAATGAGATTGGGGGGGGGGGGACAGGGGCGGGGTGAGGGAAGGAATGCCATTTTCTTAAAAAAAAAAAAAAAAAAGAAAAAGTACTCAATGTAGATAGATTCCCCCAGGTGGTCGGAGCCAGAACTGTAGCTATGAAAGTCTCAGGCCATGAGGCTTTGTGAGGGGGAAGCAGTGCCTGGGAGCCTCCTCATCAGCCAAAACTTTCTGAAATTTTCCACTCCCTGGAAGCGATTTGTAGACCCCCCAAGAGAGGAGGTGAGCCCCTGAGTGAGGAGAAAATAAATCTGCATATGAGAGTGTGTAAACATTTGGGCTGAGGGAAGGACAAGACAGAAACACACACACAAACTGTCAAGTTAAAAGCTGTGTTTTTTAAAAATAAAACACTATACCGTGACCATTTTTCTAAACCAATACATACATGTGAATCTTTTTATTAATTTTTTATTAGATATTTTCAAGTGTTTCTCTCAACAAATTTGCCTAATTACAAAATATTAAATACTAAAAAGTCTACTTGGAGAATAATTCTGCATCTTCCATCTATAAGATCCCCTCACTGTGACCCAGAGATATCACCTGTAAATAGATTGGTGCACACTTTGCAGATATGTTTCTCTTTAGGTATTGTGTTTAAAAACCAAACCAAACCCATTGCTGGAGGCGATTCTGACTCATAGCGACCCTATAGGACAAGTAGAACTGCCTTATGGGGTTTCTAAGGCTGTAACCTTTACGGAAAGCAGACTGCCACATCTTTCTCCCACAGAGCATCTGGTGGATTCCAACTACCAACTTTTTCGTTTGCGACTGAGTGCTTTAACAACTGTGTTACCAAGGCTCCTTGGTAACATGTTTAAACCAAAACCAAACCCATTGCCGTCGAGTCGATTCCCTACCTTAAAATATTTGTGTTTAATAGGTGTGTATATTCTTTTAAAATTTGTGATCATATAAATACTTTTGTGCAAACCGTTTTTTTTCCACTTATTATGCATCTCTGATTTTCATTTCTTCAGCTAATGTGGTTTGGCATCTCTCCAGATGTTTATTGAAGAAGCATTTTGCTTT